TTTTGTGTGGGCAGTCTAAGAACTTCAAGATGAAGTAGTCATGTTCAGAAACTAATGAAGTTAATATTTGAGTCTATCTAGATAGGTGACCTACAATTTGACAAACATTAATTTTTATATTCTCTCTGCCACTGTGATTAAGAGACATCCTGAAAAATATAATTTTTAAATTTATATATAGTCTCTAATATATATATAGGAGTTTTCCTTTGGAAGAGTCTCTTTTGTACCATGTGTTCACTCTTTGTTTGGTTAAACCTTTATGTTTCATGATGAATCAATAGTTTTGATATTTAGCTTGAGCCAAGATTAGTAGATAGAATAAATATTTCCTCCAACATAACTTGGCAAAATAAATAATTTTTACATAATTTCATTTGGAGAAATGAAGCTCAGTGTACATTATTCCCAAAGCAGTGATAATGAAACCTCTGCGTACCTCTATGTTCTCAGAGGGTATTAAAGATGCCAAAGCTATTTTTAAATACATGTATAAATGCCTTTGAATGCAGTTCAAAATCTCTAAACATTCAGTCTACTAAAAGGTAATGTCCTTAGTCACAAAAATTAGTAAACTTACTGAAAGAGGGGAATTTTATTGCTGAGGAATGTTAAAAATGTGGTCTCACTATGGTGCCATTTTTCACCTTTGAAATTACATTCCAAAGAGTGGCAGTTTTTAGAAACAACCTCTACCACACTTTCAAAGGTCAAATTTTCTTGAATAAGTAAAATATTTCAGTAGATAAATCTGAATTTACAAAACATAAATTAAAGAGGTATAATTTGCACTATAAATGATTTAAGATTGTAGTAAAGATTTTTTAAGTAGTTGTTTTCAGTACATTAACTACTTCATAGAAAAACTAGAGGGAATGGAGTCTTAATGACAAAACATTCCAAAGATCAATTATATATATATATATATATGTATGTATATATATATATATATATATATATATATTTAGAAGGGCCTGAAATAATTAGGTAAAAACATTTTCTTTCATTTGGGGGTTGTTTCTTTGTCTCCCCATTTTTTCTGTTCTTTGTATTTGGTCAGACTTTTTTTTTTGGACTCAATGGGTACATTCTCTTAGATCTCCTGATCTGTGTGCTCTAGGAAAGTCTCTTGCTTGAGTTATTTGGGTTCTCCTGTTGTAATTGGGTCTTGAATGTTATTGTCTTATTCATGGATGGATTTTCCTCTCAGGCTGGCTGACTATGTGACTCATTCCTGACTACGTTGTACAAGCTGTTGTGGAGGTGCTGACTGAACAGAACAAAATATAACACAACAAGATACAAAACAAAAGAAACAAAACTAAAACACACACAAGACCCCTATAGCAACAACAAAAGCAACCACCACAGAAGAGAGTAAGGATGATAGAAGAAAAGAAAGAAATAAAAAATATGAGGAGAAAAATACAAAAACAACCAACCAAACAGTAACAACAACAACAAAACCCACACAAACAAAAAGTAAAACAAAAAAAGACCAAAAAAATTATGATGGGGAGAAAGTGGAATATGTAGGTGCAGGGCTGAAATAAAGAAAAAAATAAAGAATTGGGGAAATAGGGGAAGGGAAACTGTTTATAATAAAGGAGGAAGAAAATAAAGAAGAAAAAATTTTTGAAAAGGAAAATAGAAGAGAAAGCAGATAGACCCAAAATAACAAAAGGAAAAAAAAGGTGACATAGCAGGTGAAAAGGAAAAGAGAGAGAGACAAAAAGAAAAAAGATTGTGTAGGAAAAGGAAAATTGGATATATGAATAAAACAATAGAGACTAGAATAATAAAAATAAATAAAGCAGAGAGATAAATAAAAAATGAAAAAAGAAAGGAAAGAGAAAAGATCTTAAAGGAAGAGAAACAGAAAGGGAGGAGGCATTCCTTTCAGGTGAGTTTATTGTCCCATGGGAGCTCCCTTTGGAGCCCACTCTTCTGATTGTGGCTAACCCTTCTGGCTGCCCATTCTGAGCTTCCCATGAGATATTTTGGTGCTAACCACTGTCAAAAGTCAACCCTCCTTCGGCTTTCAGTAACCTGCTTGAAGCTCCAAGTGTGTGTCTGTCTCCACAGGACTTAGCTGCAAGCAGGAGGAGCCAATCTGCCCTCTCAAACAAATTTGTTAGCAGTACAGGGCCCAAGGCTGGGTCAGCAAACTTCTCCTGGTTCTCCAAACTCTGCCGCTGCCTGCTAGCCAGCTGTCAATCAAAAGTCTGTTTCTGAAAGGGCTTTAGGTGGGGGCGGTGCTGTTTAGATTTCAGGGAATGTGGTGGCTGTGCTTCCCTATCCCAGAGGTGCTCCTCTGCAAGTGGCCCAAAATATTACTCTGCTCTTAGCTGGGGCAAGATTCTTGTATGCAATACAGTGGGATCAGCTGGAAACCTAGAGTTTCTAGCAGCTCTCCTATGTGGGAAAAGTACTAGTCTGGTTCCCAGGATAGTAGGGCAAATGGCCCCTTCCCCAATCCAGTCACTGATATTCCTGAACTGTTCAAACCCAGAGGCGTGGCCTCTGCTTCTGTTTCCTCTGGAAAGGTCAAAGTGCAGGGAGTAGTAGGCAGAGCACCAAAGGGTGACTCGGGCTATATCATCTAGGATGGGTTTTTTTTGTTGTTGTTGTTGTTGTTTTCCCTGCCCTGTGGCTACTGAGAGGGGCTAGCTCAGTGATGGCGAACCTTTTGAGCTCAGCGTGTCAGCATTTTGAAAAACCCTAACTTAACTCTGGTGCCCTGTCACATAGAGAAATTTTTTGATATTTGCCATCATAGTAAAACAAAGACTTATATTTTTGACATTTATTTTATATATTTAAATGCCATTTAACAAAGAAAAGTCAACCAAAAAAATGAGTCCGTGTGTTATCTCTGACACGCATGTCATAGGTTCGCCATCACTGGGCTAGCTCGTCTCATGATAAATGCGGTTTGGGTGTGTATGAATTACCAAATAGCTGCTGCTTTTCCACGTTTCCCTGAAATGCTTCCCACCCCATCCTCTCTTTTGGCACCTCAAGTTCGCACCTCCCTCCTTGCACCAAACCCTCAGGAGAGCAGCTGCAAATGAAAACTCCTGTGCTCTGGGTTTAGAATAAAATAAAATAAAAAATAAATGTTAAAAAAAACAAAAACAAACAAACAAACAAAAAAACAAGAAAACTGCGGCTTTCTCGCCAACCTGCTCCGGTCCACGGGCTACAGGTTCCACTCGGGCCAGTAGCCCTGCTGCCTTTCACAGCTGGATGTTACCTGGGCCACGGGTTTGGCTCTGGTGCTCTGAGCTGTGGAGCCTGGCAATGGTTCTGGGCCTCTACCTTCTGTGGGAACAGACTCTCCCATAGCTCAGCTCTCCCTCCCTACTCTTGGCCTGCTGGCCTGCTGCCCCAGGAAGCGGGGCCAGCTCCTCTCACAACCTCACCCTTTCTACTGGTCTCCAGGTGTTTTCGTTCCTTCCTTAATACGTCTCCGCCTCAGCTGGGCCTCAGTTGGTAATTCCAGCCGAATGCTCTCCAGCTTGTTTGTATTTCTAGACTGATCCTGGGGCAAGGTGCGTGACAAGTCCGCCTAATCACTCTCTCCTATCCCAACATCTTAAATATAACAGATATTCAGTAATATTTAGTTTGTATAGAAAACTCTGAAGAACTATGTTATACTACCTTCCAATACCAATAATATGTATACTTAAATAAAACCTTCCATAAAAGATCATTATTCATTAGAATAGCAGGTAGCATGTAAAACATATGTCTCTGTAGATGCCTTATGGGAACTGGTCAGAAATATTGGTTCACAAGTTGAACCAGGGTTCCTCAGCGAATGATACAAAACAATGTATGAAAATACTGTATTTTAATTCACATAAAATTAAAGTACAAATGTAAAATAAATCTGTCCATTGAACTTTCACTGTTACATAATTTTGAGCTTGTTCTACTTCACATTTTTAAATATGCATTGGTTTTGATTAGAGTATACACCAATTGAATCCTTAGATTTCTTTCTGATAGCCTTTAGACAAAAAACTCTCTTGTTTTTGCATTAGTTATTGCTGTATTTTGAGAGCCTTAGGCTAATAAAATTATATATTTTTATTCTTATAAATATTTATGAGTATATAAATTAGATATTGCCATGTACATGTTGAGAAAAGACTAAAAACATGGGAAACTACAACAAGCAATAGAAGTTCTATATTATTTTCCAATGTAAATGCAGTTTCCCTTCAAATACAAGTTTTTAAATAAAGAACAAAGAAATAGTTAAATAAGTGAGAGGAAAAACTTCCATCATATTTTTCATAAATGTAACACATTTTCTGCTATAGAGGTATACATAGAAAAAATTATAATAAAAATTTTAAAATAGAATGTTTTCCTTAAATAAAATAAAAATATCAAGGTCTATAACCCTATTTTAAAATAACACTATATACAAATATTCTCTTTTTTTTGCAATTGTATTGCTTAAAATAAGCTGAATAATTGAGCAAAATACTAAAATGTGTATACCAATAGTAAACAAATAAAAATCACTAAAGTCCATATTTTAAAAAGTGATGAATGATAATATTTTATTATTTATTTTGTTTAGAAAAAATAATGGTTGGCAAACATAAACTTGAATAGTAAGTGAAGAATTCTGTAAATGTACAATTTCAGGATGTAGCTTCATGAAAAAAAGATATTTTGGTGAGCTATGAAGTTAAGCTCAAAGAGCAAGAACATTTGAAGTAGGCAATGTAGAGCAAATATCCTTGAGAAGGGTAGAAAAATTTATATATAAGAAATAAAAGAGAAAAAATAAGTATAACAAGCACTACTGAGTGCTTCCTCACTAGGTGTTTTGCATAACTGACCTCATTAAACCCTTTCAACAATAACCTAAGTATTGTTATTATTATTATTTTCAGGTTTGCAGATAAATCAAACAAGAGATTTAGACAACTCAGATAATTTGTATCTATGTAGTGAATGATAACTTCTAGACTTAATTAGAATTAGGTTGGGCTATTCTTTATAACACCTCTCAAACTACTGTAGCACTGGATACTTCGTTGACCAGGTGAAGAAATATGACTCCAGCAGACCAAATGCATTTTCAGAAGCCCAAACACATTTTCATTCCTGGAAAAACAATTCAAAAATCAGATTTCCTACTAATATTTTAATCCTTGCATCACTTGATCCAATGCTTTACATATAATACATACATACATTTTCCACAAATATTTATTAAATTCAGAAGGTAATCTAAGAAAGACAGAATTGAGAAAATAATTTCTAATTCTTCAAAAAGCCTTCCCCTTTAAACAGTGTTTATAAAGTATGCTGGCCCTCCAGACTTTGTCCCATTAAAACTATAGGAACAAGTTTAGAAGCAAGAAATCAACTGTATTCTCATTCTCAGGTCAAATGAATTTTCACTCATAGGAAAAGACACAATTCTGAATGCTTTGGAATGTGACCGTGGGCACTTAAACCATCTCTTGAGTATCACTAGCACTACAGAGGAAGAAAAACACAGCGGGGAGAGATACAATACAAAGACCATATGACAAAGTGGCTGGGCAGCTGATGAATAGCAAGGGTCACCTACTCCTAGTGTGACAATCGAAGGGATTTTGTGATACAGTCCAAACCCCTGCAGGTCAATGAACGGGACAAAAAAAGCCTGGAGGGGGAAAAGTAGCAGAACGGGCAAAAAGGTTGAATGATAAAAAGTAGAGAAATGTTGAGCGGGTACCACATCTCTCTAGGAGGCCACATAAAGGATGACTAATGGGTACTCTATCACAGTCTATAATTTCAAATTTCAAATATCAGTGAAGTAAGGGAGTTATTCATATTCTCCTAATACAGTAGGGAAGAGATCAGTCCCCTGGAACTAAAGAAAAGGTACTTTGAATTTATATTTGGGTTAAAAATGTATTTAATACTTTCAACAATTGGATAATAGGCTTAACTCCAAGGTAAGTTCATGAATTAATCTTCCTGTAGACATCCTATGAAAGGTCAGAGAAGGCATCAGCCAGACCCAAGGACTAAGTTGCTATCACAGTGGTAGGAGTGGTAGATTATCTTGCTTCAAATAGTAAATATTCTATGATTTTTTTAAAAAAAAATTCTAAATGCTTGATCAAATATAGTGACTCTGGTGCATTGTGAAGTTCAGTAGATTACAATGCAAGTTCAACTTTAATGAATGTGAGTAATATTTGACCACGCATTGGGTATTCGGTGCACATTTAGAGGATTCTACAAAATGGATTGTTTAGTGAAGCCTGACTCTCTATAGAAATATTTTTTTTAGTTTATCATATATCATTTAAATTCATGCTCACTAATCTCACCAATGCAAAAATATGATTGGATTTTATCATATATTCCCCCGTACTCACTATCTACTCATTTGAAATGATTAGTTTACTCTGCACTTTCTGTTGAAAGCTATTTGTCAACACAATTGTTGGCAATTTTATTCAAATTCTATATGATTGTTGGATTTAAAAATATTTTAACTAGAAATGGGTGAGTTCAAAGTATCTTTCCCCTGTTTTGTCAACTGCAAACTAGATAAATGTGTAAGAAGTTTGGTTATATGAAAAAGTCTTCATATTCATTCTTATTTCCTTTAGTCAGGGGATATGGCCTTTGGGGAACTTATATAATTCCAATGTATGTTAATTATCAGAGAATCCCTAATCATTCATTCATTTTTTTAACTAAATAAAACCCGACCACCTGCTTTCTTTCTCATAAGATTCTGTTTTTGAAAGTTTTCCTTTGTTTTGTCTACCTAGTAATCACCTAGTTAACATGGTGTACCTAATATTGTGTACCTGTACATAATAACTAGTAATAATAAGTTACTTTCGACATGAAAGACATACATCTAGGTTAACCTATAAAACAGTCATAAGAGTGAATTACTATACTTTTCCAATTTTACAACTAAAGAGTTTATTGCTAAGAGCATATAATTTTCCCAAGATCTTATAGTCATATAAATAACGGTCAGAACTCGAATTCAAATCTGTCTGATGCCAGTGTTCATGTTTTTAAATATTCTTTTATATTATGTATGTCATAGATGCTTATAATCCCTATAATAGAAAATGTGTTTGACTATAATTTTATCTTCTTCCACTATGGTAGTAAACTCCTTTTGAAATTAGAGACAACTTCTTATTAATCTTCATATCCCGATATAATATTTGACACATAATATGGAATAAACAATCAACCAATAGATGGTATCTAAAGACCTGAAATAAAAAAAAAATTATTTCCCTTATTTTATGAGTAACACTTTACTCCCTTGTAATTATCATGTGCCTTGTCCTTTTAGAAAGTGTCCTGGTTCTGCTTTTAAGTGCCACCCTCACCCTTTCCCTAACCTTGACTTGATCATGTATGGCTGGTCATAAGATTGTATGATAACATAATGGCTTTGGGGATAAAGTTATTATTTTAAATCCTGATTCCATTAGGGACTTTGTGAACTGGGCAGATTTATAAACCTTATTGAGAGAAAACATCCTAACATTAAAAAATGAGGGTGTAGATGCTACCACTTTACAAGTGTTATTATGATTGAATGACATATAATACCCAATGCAAACAGTAGACATTCATGCAATAAATGATAATTTTCTACTTACCATCTATCCCAAAATAGCTTATTACCACAAAAATTTTAACTAGATCCATGAGAACTGTCTAAGGTAATAAACTTCAAGGAATCTGTATTAGTGCAGGATACTACCATGTGCCAAGTATAGTCTGGATCCTCGCCAGAGTTAGGTGTTGGTCTATTAAGTTTGAAGAATACCAGGTTTCTGCTCTCAAGTAGTTCCAAGTTTAGTGGGGAAGACATAAAATGTAAACAGATAATTATATGGAAATCTGTTCTTGTGCTATAATAATGGTGTGAATAGAGTGTTATGGGAACACAGAGAAAGGAACAATTAGCTGTCCAAGGACAGAGTAACCTGAGATAGGCCAATTTAGAAGAACAATTAACAAAGCACCCAGGATTTTCCAAAGTGTAGGTAATATTTCTTGTGAGCTCATTAGACAAGCAAATACCAAAAGCCTAAAATTTCTCATAAACTAGGACATAACTAGTTTTCACTGTAGCACTAAGGCCCAGAAGCATGAGAGCACTTTTCTTTAGTATTAATGTAGTATTAATTTTATAATGTATTTTATAGGCAAACAGTGCTCAGATACACAGATCAAAACTCTAGAAAAAATTACTGAGGGACTATTCATGCATATTTGAATTCTCCATGAATATGTATTAAAATTTGATTTTTCTTCTGTTAAAAAATATTTGAATCTGCAAGATGAAAGGCCAACATTGATAACTTTAAAGTACCAAAACCTCATCAGAGAACAATGATTTTGACTACACTTTTTAAGAAAGGATACCATGAATCTTACTACCATAAAATGTCTCAAATTTTACCTTAGAGCTACCATTGATTTCTTTCAGAATTCTTATGTAAAAAAGTAAATGTAAGCATCATCAAAGAGGAAAAAGGAGGAATTTACCCCTGAACAAGAGGTCAAATTTCAAACATCTTATAATAGTATAAGAAAGTAGTATGAGAATGTCACTAATATCCATGCAGTATTTGCATAGATTACCTCAACTCTTTGTGGGTTTCTCTTTTGTACATTTAAAGAACATGGCATGAAATTAAAAAAAAATGTCTAAAGAGTACTGAAGAATATTATATTTGTTTTCTTCCAGATTTTAAATTATGAAAAGAAAATTGGAATAAAATATTTCTTTTTATCCTTCATTTTTATTCTCTTTACCTTTTTTCTCATCTCCAAAATAAGGTGGTTTGACCACCATTTTGATTCTACAATTTATTTCTACTTATTGAAAGAAATTAGGCTTTTACTTTCACCAGCCGCATTGTCTGCTTTTGACAAACCATAGTGGCACCTCCTACGTTATAGGTTAAGTGAACCATGATGACAGAATATTTTTCTAAAAAAAATTCTTCTAATGATTTGAGCTTTTCCCACAAATTAATGATACAGTTTTTCTTTTTAAAATTTTTCCTATGATTTGTTTAAAATGCAAGGCTGCCTCTATATTTTACACATGCTAGTGAGTTACTAAGATGATTCATAATATGTATTTTAATAGCTACTGATTACTGAATGCTTACTATGTGCTAGGAATTTATAATCCTGTTATCTATATAATTTTATTTCATTCCCACAGCAGCTTTATTACAAGTGTCTTTATTATAAGATGATTAAGATAAGACTTAGAGAATGAAAATGACTTGCCCAATAACACAGCACTGATACAGGAATAATACCTAAATCTTTTTTTTAATTTACATTTCTAATCTCTGCTCTTGGTCATGAACTAATAGCAAGTTTTCATTCTTTATAGGTCTGTGTTGTTTGGAAGTTGCCCTAATAGTTTATTAACCTTGTAGACAGAAAAAAAATAATGAACAGTTCCAATTTTAAGCCATTTAAATTTGTGATATTACGTGTCTAATAACTTCATGAAGACCTGGTTTTGCCGTCATAGCTTCTATTTTAAGTAATAAGCATTTGGCATAAAGCAAACCCATAATGGGCACATAATAGATCTATTTGCTAGATCATTGAATTTTAATGTGTTAGCAGCAACAGAAAAAATATGAGAAAATTTACTCACTCTCTAGTCATGGTATTCATGTAAGTAGAAAAATAGGTATGAGTTTATAAGCACAAACCAAATGCATTTAGTAATACAAAATATTGCCTATGCAAGATGAGTGCTCTAATGACTAATGACTAGTACTGACCTTCTGTTCAAGTATATTTACTGTACACTGCATACCTAATGGTGACTCAGAAGTCTGAGATTTCATAAATGGGTGGTTTTATTAAAAGGGGGGGGGCATATAGAATAAGTGAAAAAATGGCATCAATAGACCCCAAGTACTTGGTTTTTAATGTTAATTTTCACCTTTCCTCAACTGCATATTCTACCACAGTTATACAGAACCTACTATGAGTCTGAATTTCACTTTACAAACCACTATTTAGCTTGAATAATTGAAATATAGAAAAGACCTCTTTCCACAAAATGCTCAGGCATACAA